AACGGGTTAGGCGAAAGGCGACACAGCAAGGGAAAACGCGCAAGTCACCGATACACCATTGGGTACAGGTCGCTGTAAATCAAGCAGATGGCGCTGTTGCAGTGCCTGCGCAAAGCGGAGACCAGCCTCTCATTTGAGCCCGGTAGGTATGGAGAGAAAGTGCGTTTTGAATTCGTGGTCAAAGGAGGAAGTGAGAGCGGTTATCCGCTATGAATGGGCACGTGGGAGTATCAGGAACAGAAATTTATAACCGCCTCGTGGAAGTCTATGGGCCAGGTGTGATGTCGAAAGCAAATGGTGCGGAGATGGTGTCGCACATTCATGATGGGACGTCAGCAAGTGGAGGACATACCGAGAGCTGGGCGGACGCGCACGGCCACTACAGATGCAAATGTCAGGAAGGGTGGATGACATGATTAGAACGAACCCGGCGTCGTTATCACTATTGATGAAGTAGCGAAAAGAAAGAACTTGGAATCTCACATGAGCGAGCTCAAAACATCATCCACGACATTCTTCGATCAGAAAAAGTGTCAGCACGATGGGTGCCGACAATTGACCCTCGACACACAAGGAACACACTTGGGGGTCAGCCTGGAACATCTCGTGCATTACCATGAAGATGGCAATGACTTTGTTTCGGATTGTGACGGGGGATGAAACGTGGGTCCACCATTTCACGCCAGAATCGAAAGCCGCTTCTTTGGAGTGGAAACATCCGTCATCACCTGTCCCGAAAGAAGAGAAGTTCAAGACAACTCCCTCTGCAGGTAAAAGTGCTCCTCACAGTTTTATGGGACGCCCAAGGAGTTTTGTTGCTGGACTTTTTGGAGGTTGGAACTATCAATGCTACGCGCTATTGTGACACCCTGCCGAAATTGAAAGAGGCGATTCGGAAAAATCGGCCTGGCCTTCTCACATCTGGCGTTCTGCTGTTGGATGACAATGCCAGACCACATTCGGCGACGGCAACGCAAAACTATATTGCAACTCTTGGTTGGGAGCGCCTACGCCATCCGCCATACAATCTGATCTCGCACCATGCGACTTCCATCCGTTTCCGGCTTTGAAGAAAAATCTCGGAGGAAGGTGCTTTGGAAGCAATGCTGAAGTGAAACAAGCCGTTGAACGCTTCTTCCATATGCAAAGCCCTGATTTTTTCCTGGAGGGCTTTTTGAAGCTTATCAAGCGATATGACAAATGTCTCAATGTACTTGGTACCTATGTGGAAAAATAAAGGTATGTCATATCTTTAATGTCTCATTCTATTTTTTGACTTTCATACACAACTCTGACCACAGTCGACAGGGGAAACTTATTTTTCAACTTACCCTAGTATTATTGGTGGTCAACAAAATTTAGAACAGGCCCTGAAAATAATTTTAGAAATTGTGAACATTTTCAACGAAGTTAGCATGTTCTTTTGAATTTGTATGCCACATAAGAGGCATACCAATTCAGAACTGAATGACATTTGGCGTCACAAAGAATTTTCGATACAAGCATCTCCTGACGTTGTCCCGATCAAAGTGTTAGGAATTAACTGGGATACGGACAGTGATAATTTTTATTTTGACACTGAACACTTAACAAATTTCATATCCTCATCAATTAAAACGTTTTCTATTATAAACCACGGGGCGTATTTTTGATCTTGTCGTATTTAATGGCCCTTTCATCATAAGAATAAAGTGTCTGATTCAGGAAATCTGGTCTGCCAAAACTGATTGGGACGATGAACTGCACCTGATTTTAGTTATAAATGGAAAGCCTGGTACGAAGAAATTGAAGAACTGAACCACCTCAGGATTCTCCCGTTACTACTTAGAGGAAATATTAGATGTAGATGTGAAACAAATAGAACTCCATAGCTTTTCTGATGCTCGGGAAGCTTATGGATGCGTCTGAAAGCTTATTTCTAAGAATAGGTTTGAACAATGAAACTTTTTAAACAATTTTTGTTGCTTCCATGAGTAGAGTTGCACCTCTGAAATCACTTACACTTCCTAGGTTGGAGCTCTTAGGAACGCTTTTGTCTGCCAGATTGAGCGATAAAATCGCGAAATGTTTAAAATACGAAGTACGCCTCTTCCACTGGACTGATTCTCATATAACTTATTTCTGGATTTGAGGATCTCCTGAAAAATTTAAACTTTTCATCAAGAATAGAACTTATGAAATTCAGAAACTATCTGAAAACAGCAATTGGCATTATCGCCGTGGAAAAGAAAAAGCGGCCAACCTCATGTCACGAGGAACTACTATTGCTAACTTAAGAAATTGCTAAGTTTCGGGGCATGGACGATCCTGGCTTTTACAGTCTTCAGAATGTTGGTCCTCTGGTAATGTAGAAGTTATTGAAGAACATAATTTAGAATATAAAAAGAAGTTTGCTTGTTCCCAACGGTATAAATGCATCGTACGAAAGAAGAATGAATTATTTGATATTTCCAAGTACAGTAAACTTTGAAAATATTAAGAATAACAGCTTGGATTAAGCGCTTCACTTTGAAAAATAAAAAATTTACAAACTTGACAGATGCTCCCACAGATGAAGAGCTTAAAGTTGCAAAATAATTCTCGATACGCAGAATTCAAAGAACAGCACATAATTCGGAAATTTCGGAATTAGAAGCTGGTAAAAGCATTTCTAAGAAGTCATCCATATATATTCCTTTTCCCCGTTTTTAGGTGATAAAAGAATCTTGCGGTAGAAAGATTACAGTTCTCCGATTTCAGCACCGAAGAAAAAATCCTATCCTCTTGCCTCGAAATTAAAATTTACTGAACTGATTTTTGAAAGAGAACATAAGTTGATTACAGCCACTTTGATCAGCCTTCAAAAAGAATACTGGATACCAAAAGGCCGACAGATTGTGAAAAAGATGCTTAGGAACTATCTTATTTGTAGAAATTATTTAGCAAAACCTGCTCAACAGATGATCCCACAGCTGCCCAAATACAGGATAGTAGAGACTTCACCATTTCTTGTTTCTACAGTGGACTTCGCTGGTCCGATTTGGGTTATATCAGCAACCGGAACTGACAAATCATATAGTTCTTTTCACCACAGCCCTTCATTTATAGCTAGTCACAAGTATGTCAACAGAAAATATTTCGATGGATTTTAGACGATTCGTATCGAGGCATTGTGACACAGTTTACTCAGATAAGCCAAAAGGTAAACCGACATTTCAAGTATTTTTCAAAAATACTGAAGGATTCCAAATTTCAAGATTTTATTGCCTGTAAGAAGATAAACTGGAAATTTTAGAACGTGCTGCATGGTGGGGAGGCTTTTACGAACGTTTAGTGAAGGATTGTTTAAGAAAAATACTTAGAAAAGCCCTATTAAATTTTGACGTGTTGACTACTATTTTGACAGAAGTTGAATATATCATAAATCAAAGACCCTAACTTACCCTTACAATGACTTGGAAAAACCAGACTCTCACACCAGCACTATCTCAACTTTGCTAGAAAAAATCCTAATTGTCCACTTCATTTTATCGAGATGATTGAAAAGAATTCGAATAGAAATTAACTGATGAAAAGACAAGTGTACGAAACCAAACTTTCAGAACATCGCTGGAAAAGCTGGAAGGAACAATATCTACTTAACTTGAGAACGGCCCACCATTCGGTACTCCTAATCCGAGTAAAAAATTAAAGGTTGGAGATGCCGTTTTCTTGGAAAAGTCTACAAAGTTTGAAGTTCTTCAGATAAATAGTTGCAGTAAAATACAAACTAATTGTTTACAATTATTCCTCAGCCCTAAGAAAAAATTGTTTTACAATAAGATTTAAAAGACTTATAAAAGTACTAATGAATCCAAGTTTCTAGTTGAGTGTCCTTGGCAACTAGAATACTCAGAGACGCGTATACCGACTCCTCGCTTACTTCTTAAAACTTCAGGAAAAAAAAAAGGGGGGGGGGAAGGTTAAAATATCCTTTTACTTAACTCTAAAAATATTTCACAGTTGGTCCCTCTCAAGTTTACAGGAAGCCCCTACTTTGGCTTGAACTTAAGATAGGAAATAGGAAACTAAACTAATTATAACTAAAACTTAACTAATTGTAACTAATAATTAACTAAATGCTGTACAGAAATAATTAACCAAGTTGGTCCTTATTTAAACCTCACTGGCGAATACTAACAGGCACGTAGCAATACGGCCGAACGAAGTAAGATTGGCTTAAAGCAACGACATCGCCAGAAGGTAGAACACTCTCTAATGAGAACCGAGCTCTTCTACGGAAGTGACTGATACTTCATATTAAACACTGGTTCTACTTGATTTACATAAAACACGATCCTGAAAAGTCATTCTAGCAGGAAGTTGTAGGTGGGAAACAAGAGAATATAGGAAAGGGTTTCAAACTTAAAACTATTAGGAAATAAAAAAAAAAAAATAAAAAAAAAAAAAACTTACAAATCTTTGAAAACATCAATCAGTACTTACAAGTGAGTTACAGGAGACTTAACATCCCAAGCTGATAAATCCTAGAAAGCGGAAATACTTCAGAAAAGCGGATAATCTGATATTGTAATACCAATTCAGATTATTTCACGATATTCGGCGGATTAATGGCAGATGGATGCGAAATGCTTCTTTAAAGCCTGCTTTTATAAGCAGTTCTCGTTGACTAATTTTGCATGCTTCAGTGAATAAAAACTGCCGCTAATAACGTGTAAAGAGAAATATTCTGACAAATAACGAATATGTCATTTCTCTTTTAACTGAAAGCCTGACATTCATTTAGGTGACTATAGTTAAAAAAAAAAGAAATTAGACGCCTCTTAAAACATTTGATTTAATGCAAACATTTATTTGTAAGAATGTCATTCGTTCTTTGAAACATTAACTGACAATTGAAAGCTGCAAAGAATTAATTTGACGTATATATGATTAAATGAAAAACATAAGCATGCGATATTGTACGAAAAAGATCTTAGAGACTTGAGTACTGTACAGTTGAGCTTTATTTATAAAAACAAATTTTTACATCAACATTTAAAAAAGTAAAAACTCGCATAAAAATTTATACAAATTCGAAAAATACGGGAACAAAATATTTCATCTATATACTTTCATACATATACACAAATATTAAAAATGGAACAGATTTAGATCACAATTGCTAAGAAAAAGGCCAACATGATAATACTGACACATGCCGTAAGAAATTTAATCACATTTATTTGTTCAGTTTTTCTCTTAGGTAAGCGACGAGTATCAAGAGCTCCAGTTATTCTGCTATCAGCTGTGATAATAGCATCTCTTGCATGGGGCCAAGCATTGGGACCTTGCAGTCTGTATTGATAAGGTAAGCATGGTCCAAAGAAACAGAAGTAAAACAAAATAGGATCATTGAAGAACATGGATGCGAGGTCTGGCTTGACACCAGCCAGTTCTGCCAATTCGTCCATGAAATTAATCCAGTCCATTTGAATTGTATGGCGAGGGCCACCGAAATATCGTTTTCTCATTTCTTTGTCTTTCTTACGAATATCCTCCATCATCTCCTCCTCAGATGGCAACTGAATTTTACCTGAAATTAGAACAAAGGAATCGGTTTATCTCAAAGTAAGCCGTCATTTTAGATCAAGAACTTGGTTGATGCATTTAATGTATACACACTTGAGTATTTAAAGCGATTTTATGAGCTAGTTAATTAAAGCAGTCAAACTGAACAATAGCATCATATCTTTCAAAGTTTAAATTTTACAACAAGCAATGAAGAAGTGCGAGTTAGTTACGACTAAACTGCGTGAGAATAATTTGCGAAACTTGGTATTTGAGATCAGAATTTAAATTTTAATCCGTCCGTCCATATTCAGAAAAGCAACCCATCTTCAAAGGCAGCATGCAGATTCTAATTTTCTGAATTAAAAGACAAGTAGGATCTAATTTTTATACCTTAAGCAAACACTATGCAAACAAAGAAGAACTAAGGTACACAGCCTCATATTTACGTTGGACATTGAGGAATACCCCCAGAAACTGCCCTGCTAGCCTGCTTATCAAGTATCGGTAAACGAACCCGGAATGGTTTGCTTCATTCATTAAGAGTACTTCGGCATAATGAATTTCATGGTCTGTTAATTGTGTAATAACCTAACGACAATTTAATATACCAAGTATTAAATAATCCTCAGCAAAGATGCGTTTATCATGTAACAAAATCATAAGAAACATGCCACTCAATGCATCAGTGTTACAAATATTTCTCATATAGAAGAAATTCGAAATTTCAAAAACGTTCTCTAATTTCTTGATATTTTTAACAAGTTAAGATAAAAACTATCTACCAGGTTTTACTTACCACTCATGTGCAATGCGAAAACTCTAGATTGTAGTTCGGAGATGGGCATCAGTGGTCCGACGGGTTGGCCAAGTCCTATAACGATCAAGGTTTTGTGCTTCAGTTTAGGAGGGATGGCAAATTTGTAGAGTTCTACTTTATTGTCATCCACCCAAACAATATCTGTACTCAGAAACGGAAAATAGATTTTGTATCCAGTGGCAAGAACGACTTCATCCACGGCAACTTCTTCATTTTCGCCTTCGAAGATCACACCCTTGGCTGTAAACTCCTTAACATCTCCTGCAGAGAAAATCAACACATCTTAAAGTGAAAAAGTTATTGAAATTTTATGTTAAATTAAAAAAAGTCACGCACTCGTGAAAGAACTGTGAAGCTATTTATAAAATTTTTATATGTTCCAAATTTAACACATTGCTTAGAAAATTATATTTAAAAAACTAAGTGCTTATATTGCCAGTATAAATTATGAGAATCTCGAGCAGTTTGCCGAATTAAAATTTAATTGCTGAACATTAGATTTCGTATATTATGGAGCCACTTAATGATTTTGCCCAGGCCACAAACATGAATGTGCAACTGAAAAACATTCTTTGTTGAAGACCAAATACATTTAATCTTACTTTTGCATTTACACTATACATAGGGGAGTTAGGGGGTTTACATTACACATGTGGAGTTTTATGTAATGTTAACCTCTAGCTTCGTATAGCACTTTAGGATATTCCATTTTATTAAATATAGGAGCTAGTTTCATAATTTTTTGAAAAATGTTTACATTTTTAAGTGTAGTTACAATTCCTTGATTTCAGCTGGTATTTTTCAAAGGAAATTTATTCATCCATCATAGCCTAAAACAAGGATTCGGTTTTAGCACAAGAATTTTATCGTGCTAAAACCATCAAAATTGCCAAGTTATTCTTCTGCTACAATTTGCCCCATACTTAAAAATTGTGATATCCTTGGGGAAAATTGTAGCGATAATGATAAAAATGACAATATTTAAGAAACACATTTGGTGACTTATTACTTCGTAGTGATAATAAATGACACTGTTTAGAGTAAAAATTATGAAGTTTAACCAATCAACATAAAAGTTTTCATCCAAACTAAAATTACTATAAATGATAAGATTGTTTCCTCTCATAAACTTAACGTATGCCTACATTTTGCAAATTAGGCATTGTATCCATTCATAAATATCGCTGTAGATATTACCGAAAATTAAGTATAATCCCTTTTCTATTTCAATTTCCTCTTCATCCCCCATTTTATTTCTTTAATTTCTTTATGGATTTTTTGTTTTGAACTATTCCTTTTCCTTTATATTTTTCGTCCCTTATTAACTATCTCCATTTCTTTTTCCAGTGCTTCTGGTTTGGGTATATCAGTTAGAACGGGAGATATCTCTTCTGCGTCTGCCTAGGTTAGATTGTTTCCGAGGTGAAGCCTTAAGGAAAGGTCCAATCTTTGAAGATGAAAAATCGATTTTTCTATTTTACGAAAGAAATTTCCATAGAATAAAGTAATTTGCACGTTAACATTTAATGAAGAAAATTTAACTACATTACTCAAAATCTCGAGGCAAGTTGTAAAATGGACTTGCCCCGTCGTATGGTTTCGGACATTTGTTGATTCATAAAAATATTGTAATTAGTAAAAATATTACAGTAACACTTTAAATGTAATCCATAAACAAAAGACATAAGTATTTCAAAAAGATTTTTATATTTATCCATTTTAAAAAAGATAAATTAACTAACCTTAAATCGAAATTTACAAAAGATTTCTTTTCCCATTAATTAGCTAAGCTCTCCCGACTCGTTTCGGAGGGGGGGCAAAGAGAGCAACATTTTAAATTTAATGCACACACGCTCTTACAACCGGTTTCGGGAAGTGCATTCACTATGTTTACATAAGAATAAGAATGGTTCCCAAAAATTCGGATGAAAGTTTAAAAACCACCACGTAACGAGCATCTCACTACTTACTCCTATTACAACTAACCTCTAGCTCCTCTACATTTTCAAAAGCAGAAATTCTCGCTTCAGTGTTATTCATAACTAAGCAATATCAAAAAATGTTATGTTATTGCTTAGTTATGAATAACACTTTATTCACTAACTTTATTCAATGTTATTCATAACTAAGCAACATCATAAAAATGTGCAAGATTACTGGAGAATTTAATAAGTTTGTAAACCTGCAATTCATAAAAAAATTTTAAAATAAACAAATGAGGGGGAACTTACGTTAAGAAAATGAGTTATAAATGAATTATTCTAATGTTGTGAATTTGGTATGTAAATATATACACAGTAAAATTTTAACAGAAGCACTGGGCAGGCATGCTTTAATCAATGTTTGTATGAATTAGAATTTAAGTTCATTCTCACATGAAAACTTGCAAATATTTTCCTACTTTCCAGACTTGTATACATTTGTATTCAGATGCAACAAATTCTTAAGATTATTTAACGTGTCTCAGATTTACGCTAATAAAATGGCGTAAATTCTCTCCTACAGATAAAATTAATAAAATTATGTAATAACGTTTCATACTTTGAGAAATTTATTTGGATCCATAGTATTTAAATCTTGAAGATATGGAGATTTTGTTTTGTATTTGGTCCTCGGCGAAATTACCGTATTACTTAGAATTTAAGCCGCAGGAGGATTTTAAAACTGGAAAGAATAATAAAATTTTGAATTCATGCCAAAATATAATTTTTCCTCTTAACAATTTGAATAAAATTTGCGGACGAAATTCAAGTAATATGGCCTGTCATAAATAGCATATCGAATTCTTTAATGCTTATTAAAAGTCTTTACATACAGTTTAAAATAGCTGTCGTGTCAGACACTTTCCTTGTCTTTGACGAGGGAAATTTCGGAATTCCCAATGTTAATGAGGGCGAAAAATCGTTCAGACGGTGGTATAAATATCATAACTGGTTCAAGCCGATCTTCGTTGCTACGTGACAAATACTGGTTTAGGGGTTTTGGCATTTCGAAGCTTTCAACTTCATGCTGACTTGGTACAAGAGTTGAGCAATCGCAGCAAACGCGGGAAAGGTGTAGACATAATCACATGCGAAAATTTAGCTTCTCTACTTGGCTACGTCTTAGACCCAGTCTCGCAGGTGTGAACGGAATTATCGCATTTTGCCTTATACCTCCGACATTTATACCACCGAGGCTTCAAGAGATTTTAATTTCATTATTTTCAACCAGAGTCATCGTCATTATAAGTAAATAATTAACATTTTCTTTAAAACCTGGAGAAAACTGAAGTTATAAGCACTATTTTTTAAAGATATCTTACTCGTATTAATCTTTATGATTTCAAAATCCTCTCTGAAAGGAAATGGATTATAAATTTGTAAATTCAAATCAAGCAAGCTTTTGTTCCTAAAGCATCTGGTATTCAGAGGGGAAAAATAACTATCTTTACCTCGTACTTGAACTGTGCCACTCAGAATCCTGTTCGGCAGGGCGTCATTGACCATAGGATGCTGACCGAAGATATGATGTTCTGGTTTTAGTCTATATAATTCATGGTCAAATCTGTTGTTGATTTCCCTCTCTGCAATGTAGCATACTATGGGATAAGGCACATGATTGAAGAAAATATTGAAAAATCTCTTCATTAGCCATAAATCGAAAGGTCTTCCTTTAGGACCCACTCTGTGGATGATCCAGGCCCCTCTGCGAGTACTTAGATACACCTAGAATAAATAAACATAATTTATAATGTGCAATGGCTGATGACGAGTAAGAATGAACTTTTAGAAAACAGTTATTTGATAAGACGAAGAGTAAAATTATAAGTTTTAGATGTTTTTCTCGAAAGCGAAATGTTTGTTATAATACTGTATTCTTTATTGTAACAGGAAATAACATTCCCATATTTTACTCTGCCTTCGCCGATAATTCAGTACAGTTCTGCGATTCGAAACATTGATTTTTCTTCATACGATGAAATCACGTGAAAGAAGATATCTTTAAGACATTAAGAAGCATCTCTATATTTAAATTTTTGTGGCACTTTATTTGAAGGTGACTATTAGCTTTAGCCAGTGCAATCGTTTCGGTCGCATTGAGCAGTAAATTTTGGCAGCACAATTTTCAGAATTTAGAGAAGCGCAGGGCAGAAGAATTTAGGGCCTGTAAAGATTGCAAAGGCGGCAAATATGACTAGAGTCTTCCCTGGCTATAACTTCCAAGAAAACGTGGAGGAATTTTTTCAAATCTATCTATAGGTATTGGAGGCGCATTCCACAAGAACGATAATTCACTTTTCTTGCTCGGGCATTAAAACTTCAGTTAATAGCTCCTTCGAAAAACAACATAATAATATCATTAAGTAATGCATTTAATGCAAAAACCGATAGTTCACAAGCTGTGACTAATCTGATTAATAAAGATTTCACACATGAATATTTCAGATATCTTAAAGAGATATTTTAAGAGAAATGCATTCGTTAAAGACTTGGTTTAACTTCTTTTTAAATTGAACACAAACACATAATAAAATCTGTACTATTTGTAAAATCAATTGAGCACTTAAGTTCAATTACTGATTCCGATGAACGGATTGGCTGTCTGGCAACTTTCAACTGTAACACGAATTCGAGCCTGTTTTTCTTAAAATGTTGTCTCTGCCCTTACATAGCCCTCGTATACTTTGTCATAATACAGTTCTATCATGAACGGCAGCCAAAAATACTTAAAAATAGCTTTTTTATAATCTAGGAGAATCTATAAATTACTGCGAATTTATCAGTTATACGTACATAGTTCAAAACTATTAATGGATAAAACCAAAAGTTGAAGCTTACTTTTTTACATTGAGAAACAGATTTCGCTAAAAACATGTGATGATAATTATGCTTTTATTTTTCCATGTTAATTTAATAAAAACTTATCCGAGAGGGAAAAAAATGTTCTTTATGCTTTTTACTTCCTTGTAAGAAATAAAGGAAGCATTATAATCGCAAAAAATTTCGTGCATCATATTTCAACAGATATGATTTTCATTGAGATTTTGTTTTGTATTTGGTCTTCGGCGAAATTACCGTATTACTTAGAATTTAAGCCGCAGGAGGATTTTAAAACTGGAAAGAATAAAACAAAAACAAATACAAAACAAATCAATAGAGATATCAATTTTGATTGTTCCCGAATCTATCTCGACGATTTTCTTACGTGCGGTGTGTATGTAAGGATAGAATAAAGGACTCTTTAAAATAAATTGTAAAATGGATTTAAAATGACTTCAGAAGATATATTTTTCGTGACGTCTGTAGGCACTTATGTATACATCTCGCTTGACTAAAAAATTATTAGCCGTCCAACGTTGAAATTTTGTATATGGGGCTGCTGAAACATCTAAATGTTTCACTTCCTTTTATTAGTTCAAATCGATAGTACAAATGTCAAATTATTATTTTTTATATATATATATTTATATGTTTATATTTATATAATATATATATATATATATAAGGGTGTATGTGTGTATATATATAATATACACACATACACCCTTATCCGTCTATTATTTTTGCAATCGTTGGTCGCAGACATATACTTCTAATTATAGAACAGTTAAATAATGAAAATATTGATGTTTTGGCAAATCGTTCAGATGGCAATGTCAAATTTAAAAGGAACTAGGTTTCGTTGTTTGTCGCAAATTAATTTTAAACCGGTCTCCCGATTCCGATACTTCTTTTGAGAAAGTTTTATACTCGTTACGAGAAAATAAAAGTGTATGAAGTTTGACTCCCATATGGCAAAAATTGACCGGGATATTTCAGTCCAGAATTTGCAGCTTTTGATGTCATTTTCAACTTGCCTTGAGAAATCGGTTAATTAAGTTAGAATAATTCGAGGAAATGAATTTAAATGAAGTGCATCAAAAAATGTAACTTAATAGGCCATGCAAGGAAGTCATGTAATATCAACATCAGATTTTGTTTTGTAAAGCTTTGGCTTTACAATTATTTTAATAATAAGTTTCGGCTATATATTTATTTTTAGCCTAATCAGGGATAATGCTTATTTTAACCAAATTCTACTCGAAACAACTAAAGCATGCAAATTTAGTATTAAAGCATTCTATAAAAAATATCAGGAAAAAAATCATGTTCCATCTACTTTTACATTATTACTTATATTGTTCTCTTACACTGTACTTATTACTGTTAACATCTCATCCAACTAGCGCAGCTCATTTCATCGAAGTAGGAATTTACCGCATAACAGAAGTAAACAGAAATTTTCCGATTTTTTGTTTAAGTATATTAGATTCCGATTTCTATCCACTAGATTGTTTTGCAATAATTCAGTATTAAGTACATGTTAACCTTTATTTATACTAATAAACAATTTCTCGGATAAATTTAACATCCAACAGCTTTCAGATTTGTTCATGAACGTTTCCAGCGTTCAAAATCTACCAACGATATTCTATACAGCAGCCTTAATGTTGAATTTCTAGTTCATCGATAATTCTCATGTCTTAATTTTGTGAAATAAATCTAAATTCATAAAAATAATTCACATATAGTAAATGAGATTGCCAGACTCGGCCACAATGTCAATATACAGTGTTTATTCAGAAATAAAGATATACCTATTCAGACATGACATTTTTATAAATAAAATCTACATTTCTTTCCTTTTCAAGTAAAAGGTAAAACTTCGTAATTGAGAATTATATTTAAATTTATAAACATAAAAAGTTTAATACTTTATTACTCATTAAAATACAGTACTCAAATATCTTGAAATGCCTTTCAGTAGATTTCGAAAGAAATTAAATAACCATTTACAGTGGCTTATATTGCTTATATTTGTTTTTAGACATTTGCGTTTTTTAGATTTATTCGGAAATATTAGTTATTAAATATTAAAGAAATGACTTTCAAATATACGACTGATCACTTTCACTTTGAACAAGCAGTTTATATTTATGTGTGTGATGTGTGTGTGAATATGGCAAAGCCTCGAGGGCTATCTGCCTAAGAGGAGGGATGCCTTCGTGGAGGACTTTCTAAGGGAAACTGGCTCGTATACACGTTACACATGGGGAAAACCACGAAAACGCCCATGCAGCCAGCCCGTTCGCGGGATTCGAACCTCGGACCGAACTACCAGTGTTCAGCGACTTTACCGCTCGGCCGCTGGTGGGCCCAGTTTATATTTAATCTTATTTTTTCGGTAAGAAAATTTGTTACATTCCTCAGTGAGAATTGTGCTTAACGCAGTTTTCGAAGGAATGTCATGTTTACTTATTCTATTCTCCAACTCGCCTCAATCATGTTCCATGAGATTAACCCCGAAAAATCTGGATGCGTTTTGATAATTTCAGGAACACAAAAGTAATAATCAGAATGGTTCCATTTGAGGCTATAATTATATGGAACGTAATTTTCTGTGCATTTTTAGTAGTCGTTGTATATAGTTTGCAAATAAACCCAACATCACAGGATTCGTCTAAGAAACCCTCCTGAACAGCTCCCAAGCCTCCGGTCTGCTTTCAAGAGGCAAAGTACACCAAACATCTTCTCCGACAAATACACCTCATCTGGAGGATATACAGGGTGATTCTAAATTGTTTTTACAAATTAAGGGGAGTGATAGTACTCATCCAGATCAACGATAATTATCATGGAACATAGGGTCGCATTCCACTCTGAGAGGCAGAGAAGAGGAATATTAGAATTTCAACCTGAAATTACAGTGTTGGGAGAGCGAAGGAACGAGATCAAAAGTTGCACAACCAGTTTAGTGAAAAATTCACAGAGAGTGCACAAAACGGATAAAACCGAAAACTTGGCTTTCGAGTGTTAATTCGAGCTCGGACTTTGATGGCAAATACTCAGATGCACATCTTTAGTTGGCAATATCTCAACCTCGCAAACGATTGCAATAAGTTAACTATATAATCAAGGGTTGAATTTTATCAACTAATTACAACTTCCGCCGTGTGCCGGGATTAGCATGGAAAGTTCATTCCGTGTTCCGGCTGTCAGAACTTCATATCCCATAGTAGGGCGCTTCAAGTAGAATGAGCGCAGTATAGCAAGTCCAGGAGGACAGGATAGAAGATGGCGAAGGGGAAAAACACTACTACCTTGATATTCGATATCAAGGTAGCAGTTTTCCACCTAATAGATAATTCCTCCTTAATTAAACTTGTTGCAATCGTTTGCGAGGTTGAGACCTTGCTAAGTTGTGCACTCTGAGTTTTTCACTAAACTGATTGTGAAACTTTTGGTCTTTTTCATTCGCTCTCCCAATACTGTTGTAAGTTCAGGTTGAAATTTAAATATTCCTCTTTTCTGTCTCTCAGAGTAGAATGCGACACTGTGTTCCATGGTAATTATTGCTCATCTTGATAAGTTCTTTCACCCTTCTTAATTTGTAAAAACAATTTAGAATCACCCTGTATATAATAGCGGATTTCACAAAGATTAGGCCCTAAACGGGGATCTCTAAGTTACTGGTAAGAGCAGGGAAAAATACCTCTTGCAGTAACCGAGTATACCGACAGAAGTATCAAAGGCTATATTTTTAGGACTGTTATCCTGATAGAACTTGAACATATTTTTCTTTCTGTTTTCTTGCAGATGTTTTTAAGATTTTTACTAAGAGTATACATTTATACAGATGCTTATTATTTTTTATAAAAAGTAAATTTCAAATCCCAGAGACAGCG